CCCCCCCCCCCCCCCCCGCGCTCACCTTCAAATCTCTGATGTATCAGACCAAGTGGTCCCAGATTTCTCCATAGCCCAGGAGACAATATTGGTAAACAGAAACTCTCGCAAGCTCCAAGGAGCTAGCTTTCGTGATTTGGAGCAGCACTGCTTCCTGAAAGTACCTGACTAGGTAGAAGTTCTAAAATGGAAGTCGCCCTACTCACAGGGGCGAAAATTAGCACACCACACTGGAAGATGGAAGCCAAGCAGAGGATCTGACCATCGTGACAACAGGCTAGCAGGCTAGCTGCAAGAAAAGTCATGTCTATCACTGTGAACCTGTGAGGGCAACCCTTGTGTTGGTACCTCTCGCTGCTTTCATGCATGGCTAGCGAAATTCTGTTGGCTATTCGAGTACGCCCTCGAAAAGAAGACTGCACATGTAAGACACCAGGCAGAAAATCACAAGATCCCTCAAAGCACCCGTCCAACACTCTACACCCGGAAAATTCATCAGCATGTTCATGCTCACAACACAAAGCTGCTTCTTGCCCAAAAATTCCTAACACTGACAATCTTAACCCGAATCCTAAAAAAACTCACCAAACCCTAAAACCCTCAATCAAATCTCCAAAGCATATTGGGATATACATGGGTATATAGGGGGCATTTTAGGGTGTGTGTGTGTGTCTATATATATATATGCACACATATATATATATAAAGACCTTTGAAAAGTCTCAACCCAAAAGCCCTGCGCCTTGGCATCGCGCTCCGATCCTCCAGGTCGGTGGAGGACGGCGACCCCGCGCTTGACGTCCTCTCAAAGCGGACGATCGAAACCTTGAGGAACTGTGATTTAAACTACTTTCGGGGAAGGAACATGGAGGGAATATATAGGGCTTTATAGGGTTTAGGGACATTGCCCCAAGAATACAGGTGGTGTTCTAGTTTTCAGGCGTTGGGGCTTGGAGGGTTGTGAGCTTGTTAAGGCGTTTTCATGTTATCGCATTCAGATGCTCGCTCGAATCCATCGCGTTTTGGCGGGCAAGTAACAATGGCGGCAGCAGCTGCAGCAGCAGCAGAAGCAGCAGAAGCAGAGGAAGCAGAGAAGCATAAATGACTGTATGCACAAAAGTAGTTTGCAAAATGATCCGCAATTGCGCACGGGAGGCACACAAAACGGTTTCACACTATGCCTTGTTCGCACTTTTTGCGTTTTTGGCATTTCCTCCGCTTCAACCAACACAGCATAACACAGCCTTTCCACAAGCAGCAACATCTGCCACAAGTCTTGACAGGCAAGCAACACATGTGCTTCTGGATCAGACATTGAGCCGGACTGAGCGCTAGCATGCGCTGGCAGCTGGCGAGCTGGGCTGGGCTTCGGATTGGAAAGAAAAGTACAACGTAATTCAACCTGCAGGCTTGCCAACAAAGATATCAAAAGAGGAAGCTGTGGGAAGCCCTCAAGACACAGTTTCTTGTTTGCTTTCAACTCTTGAAGCCAAGCGGACGAAAAATCATTCCTTTTGCGAAGCGATCTCTCGAGCCAGAGCATGGCATTTTGCTCGTTGCCGTCTCAGAAGCGAGAAAGCTTCTTGAGGACTTTCCTCAACCTGAGAGAGCCACAGCACTCACACGTGACTGATCGTGGTGTGGGGACTGGATCTTGGGATTTGGGAAGTTTGGGGTGCTAGCGTCTTGAAGTTGACTTTGCCGATGATGTCTTATAGAGCACCGCGCAATCGGGCGGGACTCGCCCGTTGAGGACTGGAAATTGCTGGCTTAGCTCAATTTGCAACTTGTCCTTTGGGTGAAACCAAAAAAATTGATCCCACAAGCAGCTCTAGCCTAGGTCAAGGACGTGCTGGCAACTCGGTCATTTTTTTGGTTGTGGAACCTGAAGTGACTGGACAGATTGTGGTCAGCTGGCACAAGGTCTAGTGTTTAGATTTCTCTTCAATCCCAAGGCCACTCGACACTCCTCGACTTGAACCCCAATTTGTGTATCTCTTTCAGCTCAGATCCTCCACAGACAGTGGAAGAACTTCTCAGCTTTCAAATGCAAACCAACAACGCAAACCATCCTCCGACACAACAAGCAAGGCACTTCTAGGCTCTAGGTGTTTCGGGGCCTATGCAAAATCCTGTCAGCCCTCAGTAGGCCCCACGCACGCTGCGTTTGCGCGGCCAGGTGGCCACACCTCGACCGGGACTTGGGGTAATACACAAAGCTGGACAAAAGGTCACTACGACACTACGAAGCATCCATGTCCGGGACAGCATTGTCCGAGAATGCTGCAACTTCAAAGAAGAAGCTGACAAAAAGATGTTGCCCACCACCGCGCCAGATAATTGCACAGAAAAGAGAATGGCAAGAGTATTCTCATGGGCTGACTGTCCAAAGAAACTTTGGCAACAAGAACCTGCGATGTAGCACAACCACGTCTGAGCTCCAGGCACACTGGTATATCCTTCAAGCTCTCAAGCTATGAAGAAAGACCCAGCGGTCTCTTAAAGGTACATTCGGGTCCCTGAAACTTTGCCCAGCTGGCAGCGCTCAAGCAAATTTCATCAAGCTACCCTCATGATTCATGGCCATCCAATCCATGAAATTCCTGTCACAACTGGGTTCGTTGACGGGAATCTGCCTGGACTAGGAAAGAACCAGCACAAGGATTGCTCACACTCACTTCAAGAAATCCTCAGGCTGCTCCACCCACAGCTTGAAGGGGATTCCTGCCTCAGGATTAGCAATGGAGCGGGATTCATCAACAGCTTTGCAGCTTTCTGTGTGCAAAGGTCCCCTATGTTGGGCATAGTGTCTACTGCGGTACATATCGCTGCAGCTGTTGCAGTTGCAGGTTGTTGTCCCCATTCTGTCGAATCACGCGACCAATAGTCGGTGCTACACGATTCCGTACATCCCTCACATGAGAATATCTTTGACGCACAGCATTCGAACGAAAACTTTATAAGCCAAATTCGCTGCCGGATTCCTACCACGTCTGCTCTCCAAACATCAGCACCACCCTGGCCCTGAATTCAATGCAAATGTCGCTACAGCTTGCAACCATTTAGCTGCGAAACCCTCTGGACTGACTCAGAACCCCCGACAATGAGGCATTCGAGCATCGGAAACCCTGAAGTCCACCCCAAAGAAGCCCACAGTAAAGCTTCAAAGTGCGTAGGTTTGGCATGGTCCAGGCCGAGGGCTAGGATGTAGGTTTAGGGTTTAGGGGTTTGGGGTTTAGGGGTTAGTCCCGGGTTCCTACCCCCCCCAACCCCCCCCCCCTTATGGGTCCCCCTCCTCCCCCCTGTGGAGCGTGGTTGTTGTGGTCTGTCCCGCGTCACACCTATGCTGTGTTGGTGATTCTGCCCCCCCCCCCTCTATTCCCCTGTTGTTGTTATGGTCCTGTTGTGCTGGTGGTTCTCCTGTGAGAGGCAACATGTGCGTTACTGTCCTCTGTCCTCTCTACGGTACAGACAGCAAGGCGGTCAGGTGTCTGTTTTCTACACTCAGGCACAGAGGTGCTGGTAGTCCCTACACTACAACCTTGATCATAGGACATCATGCATTAGTGCTTGGACATCTGACTGCACTGGCAGGAGACTGAAAGCTTCACCCTGTGGTACCTATGCTGTCCTGGTGATTCTCCCCTTCTGCCCTGTGGTCCTGTGGTTCTGCTGGTCTGTCCATGTGGTTCTGATGGCATATTAAGAGGGTGTGGGTATTCGTAGATGATCCTGCTTCATATCCCATATTATTTCTAATGCTGTTCCCTAAAGTCTTCTAATGACACAAGTTTATTTGGAGTATAGCTATAGCCCCAGGTATAAACAGCACGAAGGTCTAACAGTGACGACACTTACAAGGATAGCGACCCCGGGAGGCCCCTTCCCTCTGACTGTTGGCGCTTTTCAGACGCCAAGACCACACACAGGTCCAAAAGTGATGACAGTAACATGGATCGTGACATTAGGGGGCCCCATCCCTGTAACTGTTAGGACTTTTGAGACGCGACGACAGCACGAGGAGCAAAAGTGACGACAGTTACAAGGATGGCAGCTTTGAGGCGTCAAAAACAATGACGGCTATGAGGATCGCGACCTCGAAGGGCCCCATCCCTATGACAGTTGGCACTTTTGAGAGGTCTGGGCTGGGAGGGGGGGACCCATACCATGGGGGGTGGGGTGGGGGATAGGATCCCCAGGACCGGGAACATATATTCTATACTCCTACATTCCCCTCTGTGGCCTTAATTGTTTTCATCTGCCCTTCTGAGGCTCGAACCTCCTGGAGCTTCTTGGTGACATCCTCCAGCTCGCCCTGCCGCGGGCTTGAAGTTTAGGGTTTAGGGCTTTACACTTGGGACTTAATGTTTGGGGCCTAATGATTAGGGCTTTTGAAGATTTGTAGCTCAGGCCATTTTCTGCTCTCAGAAGTGGGAGTAGCTGTTCGATAATTGCGACATTGTCAAAGCCAAGATCCAAACAACATCAGTGCAAGCTGCCGGAACCATGCTCTAAGACTGTAAGACCCGAAGTTCCTCACCACGTACATTCTGTTGATATAGACTTTCGATAAGTACTTCTGAAATTACCACCACTCTGGTTTACATCATTGATTGCATCTCAGCTCAAGATCCAACTAAGAAAGAAACTGCTGGAGACTCCGTGACATGTCAAACGCAAGTAGTAATAAGTAATGCCGTCTTCGAACATACGACACACCACCCTCATCACACGCACCGGTATCATCATCAGCATCCTGCAATCGCAGAGACAGGAATAGTGAGAAAGTCTCAACAACAGCTTCGTTCTTTTTGCTCAGAAGGTAAAAAGCTTTGGCTGGGCAAAGCGACGCACTGGGCAACACGATGGCACATGTCTTTAGCCCTCAGCCCGCCTGGCTTTTGGCTCCCATGGTGGATTTCACCATGTGCCCTTCCAGCCCCTGGAGCCAGTCTGCAGCTGATGGGAGTTGCAGTTGATATGCGTTAGGCTTTGGGGGCCAGCAAACAACCAAAACTACGCCGCTACGGGTTTTGCGTAACGGCTCGTCGGTAAAGCTTACTAGACAAGCTTCCCGACATGAGGTGCTCAATATCTATGAGAGTTGTCAACTGCGTTTGCGGTTCAAGGACAATCGTTGGGTCCTGATTAGCACCTTCCCTGCTTAAAAGGGCGAAAACTATCTGTCCAGCGGCCTCGGAGAAGTAGGTCACAGCCTCCGAGTCCTCCCTGGCCTCCCAAGCCTTTGAGCACGGCCATGGAGCTCAGAGGTGGCATCATGACAAGGTTCAAGCTACTTGTAAAGGCCTTAAACACTGCAGTCAGTTGCACACAGAGGTCAGTCATGCAAGGAAGTCTAATGCTAGGGCATGCACCATGGCGCTGCAGGCATGACATGCCTGGTTGATCAAAGCCTTAGAGGCGGCGTGAGCTCGGGTAAGCATGAGGCTCCTGAGGCCACCTATTATTGGGATCTACATGCCTTTGCCTGAGAGACAATTGGATCCAGCACGTACCTAATCAACTGTCACATGCCCTACCCATTGAACATCATACATGTCCTAAAGAAGACCAAATGCTGATGCTCTTGGAAAGCACTTTGTGGCTTTCTTGTGCAGGTTACGTGCTATAATAAGGTCCGCACGCCGGTTGGCCAATCCAAGTCCTTCAAAGAGGGAAGGTAGCTGTCGGGCACAAGGAGCTCGCGAGACGCTGTAGCGGAAGGAAACCGAGTCTATGTCTAAGTGCGTGGTGAACCTCCCTTGGAGCTAGAATAATGCGATTTAAGAATGCGACGTGCCAGCAGCATCAGCCTGTCGAGAGGGCTGCGAAAACGAATACATTGCAGCGTCCTTCCGCAGAACCACAAACACGGCCAGCGGGTCATTTGAGTTGGACGCAGCGCCAGCCTGCAAAACGGACAGAGTGGAAGGTGCTGTGAGGCCTTGGTGCAAATGCCAGTCTAACATAAGTTTTGGTGGAGGCCCTAAAACTCCTGTTTCTTCCGCAGGGTACCTCACCCTTCGCGTTCAAACTGGACCACGTATGAAGTCTTCAGAAACCTTATCAACACCTTCAAAGACTTAGCTCAGGGGAAGTGAATTCATTCTACGTCAAAGATCAGCCTATTGCAACCAACTACAAACTCCTCACACGGGCTAGTCCAACTTCAGATCCGCAGCCGGCTCCTTCGCAGAAGCTGCGACGCCGGCATCCGCCGATGCTGGGCTGCTCTGCCTGAATCTTCAAAAATACGCGAGCTATTATATTAAGCTGGACCCAAAAAAACGAGTACTTTCGTTCAGAAACACCCATGGGAGCACATGGAGGCTTGCAAGCCCGATAGAGGCGCGAGCCCGCCTTGGACCGTGAGATCCAAATAACACCCCAAATCAGGGGCTGCCCTAAATCAGCAGCTGATCAAGCCACACAGGCTTGGAGTAAGAAAGCACAGCAGACAGCGACAAAGACTGGAATGCTGCAACAGCCACAGACACGCCTGCAAACCCTCCAAAAAAAAAAAATCATGTGGCAAAGGTGCCCTCTCTTCGAGGTCTGCCGCCAGAGGCCCATCCCGGAGGCCAGCAGACCCCAGCAGCACTGGCCTTTCTGGGAGCCAGAGGCCATGGCCTTGGAAGCTTCAAACGCTTAGGGTGCTTCACGTAGATGCTCAGAGGTTCAGTGAATTACAGATGCAACTGAGGGCAGGCTCCACAGGGACTTGGAACATCTGGCACGCTCAGGTGAGACATTTGCTGCTTTTCGGATGCTGTTTGACACACTCCCATCTAAGCGCATGAAAAGGCCCAGGCTTTGTGCGAGCTCAGCAGTATGGGAGGCGCCACCTGCAGACTGCAAGTTTAGGGTTTGGGGCTTAGGGCCTAATGATATGCTTCGGGAAAAAGATATGCGGGAGCTGCATCAGGGATCCTTACAGGAGGGGGTTAGCAGAGAAGGAGGGCATGGGATAGAATGAAGAACCATTTCGAGGGATTTTTCAGAGAGTGTATACCACTGGCATGCAGTCCTCCATTCTCTGCTAGCCACAACGAAGCTGATCTTGAAGAAACGCAATGAAACTGAGATCACATGTGTGAGAGAATCTCGGCAATTCTGAGGAAGGGAATAAGGGAATAGAATCCCTATATAACCCAATATAGTATATTCCCATATTACCTACTAAGAAACAATAAGATAAACGTTATGGCCCTGCACAAAGGATTTGCCAACCTGATGTGGCAGCGCAGCGCGCACAGCCAAGGACGTGGCCAGGGCCATGGGCAGCTGAGTAGATGAGAGCTTCGCTGCTAAGTGGCTAAGTGGCTAGTATGGACTGGTTCTGCTAATCGAACACGCGATCGTAGCACGCCCCAATCCCTCGTCAGCATAGGCTCTATGCAAAGGGTCACATGCAAATGCGAAGATCTGGAGCAGTCCGCTGGCCCGGTCCTTTACTCAGTAACAGTCACTGCTGCGTGGTGTCCATTGCGCTTGTTTGTGTTGAGCTGACAGGCTCATCGACATATGAATGGGACTGCAAAGCATATCAGCATGCCCGTGCATGAGAGATGACTGCTGCATCCAACGGGCTTTCATCAGAAACCGACCCAAAGGCCCTATCTGTAAAAAACGAAACATGGGCTCACCATCTCCACCTGGAACCAAACAAAAACACAACCATCTATCAACTTTCGCTCTGACAAACTCAGAAAGCCAGGGTACCTGCATAGAAGTAGAAGTGATAGAAGCAGCAGTACAGGAACAAGACAAGCAACAAAGCACAAACAAACCTCCAACCCAACACTGCAGGGCTGTCCATGTGCACGATGACCTCCCTCCCTTCTGAGATCTCCTGGCCAGAGACTCCAAGCCCAGCAGGGCACGCAGCAGATGACAAAAGTCTAAAGACAAGTGGGTGGCCTATAATACTTGGAATTTGGAATGCCTTGAGCGTCTGTGTTCTGGAATGCCTCAGTTGCCTTCACATCATGATGGACGGGCACTCGCAACATAAGTAGGCAAGCCTCTTAGGCGACTCTCCTGGTCTTTTCCAAGAGACGCGCAGGAAAGGACAGAAAACTTCAGCTGAAATGGCAGAACCAAGAGTGAGGCCCTAAAAATCTAATCCGACCCTCTTGCAGCCCACATCCGGCCTTGCTGCTCAAAGGGCGAACACGGACCACGACCTCCCAGCTCTCTGGTAGAAGTCCATCATCCCTCTCTGAATGGTAAACATTGCCATGCTGAAATTTAAACATTATGTAGGGGCCATTTTTCAAGATTATCAAGGGGCAGCTTGATTTGCCAGCCGGAGGGGTGAGGGTCTGAAATCTTACGCATTTTAGATGTCAGGTGAATTTGACACTGTTCCAATATCTTGGGATTGGATGAAGCGGCCCACGGAAAAACTTTCATCAGAAGCTTCCAGCTCCGGGAGTGCGGTTGCGATGCTACATTGGCGGATATTGGCGGCCTACTTCGTGCTGGCCTGAGAATTTTCAAGTGGGGATTCACTGATCAGTTGCTGTTCCACGGTGAGGCTTGATGCTTCACAAGAGCCAAGCAAATCTGGGACCCCACGCACGGAAAATCATATTCGAATTTCTGAAGCCGAACCCTTTCAAGATCTTCCAAGCCTTGACGCATTCGCTGTTGCTCTTGGACCTTGGTATCACACGGCCAGGCTTAAACTTGATGTCTACTGAACAGGCATTGATCTGCACAGGAGCTGACCTGAAATATTTTCTTTGCATGATTCAGTCAAGCAAACGTGTGCTGTACCACAGTGAAGAGACCTTAACACATGTCAACTTGGTCTGTCTCCAGCTTCCAGCACCTAATGAATGCCATTAACGCCTTTTTTCTCAAGAAAGAAAGGTTATGTGTAGCTTGAGAGTGAGTTTGACACAAATGGCCCCTCACTCCCCCCCTCCCTCCCCCTCTTGTGTTATGCTGACACATGGGCCCACTCTGCTTCGCAATGCCACATGCTGGGAACCGCATCTTCGGGGCCCATCCCGCAGGCAGCTGAAGAAGTTAATCCAGCATTGCTTGCCGTTGCCTAAGGGCCCTCGCCAACTCGAAAACTGGGGCCCCATGCTTCAGTGGCGAACCAACAGCCTCCAGTAAAAATTACACGTGCATTGGGACCCAGACAACTCTATCACACACATTGTCTGCTTCAGCATCACAACAAGCCCGTCACAGCTTGCCCTTCGGCCGGCGGCGGGGGTGGTGCTGCCATGGCTTTAACAAATTCTTGAGGCACAAACAGAACAAGCATGGGCTCAATATTCAATAACACGCGATGTTTGCACTTCTGGCGAAGACCAAATCCTACTGATGCCAAGTTTTGTTAGAAAACTTGAATCGTGATGCGCTCGGCCAAACAGAGCTGACGTTTGACAGGTGAATGGAACTTTAGAAAAAAGCTGTCCAAGCTCCGGCTACTGCTGAGCTTGAGGGGGAGTTCCACCGCACGCACACAGCTTCTTCCAGCAAATACTTGGCGTATTGCTGTGACCCCTCTACCTCACGAACATCAACCAACTGCTGGCCCCACGACAAACGCAGGCAACTCCAACCACGCCGTGAATCAGCGTCGCCGCAGCACTTCTACAGGGCTGTGTCTCAGGTGATGTCCGTTTAGGTCCAGAAGAAGTGAGGACAAGCTATCGCTTGGGAATGGAGGTTTCAAGCTGAATTTTACAAGCGCGTAAATTTGGATGCGTTAGCATCCACACGCATACCAGCAAGCACACATTTTCCAAATTCTGAACGCTTTACATACATCAAGTCCCACGATCCAAGCGCAGGAAGCTCACGTGCAACGTCAAATGTTTTCCTTGCAGTGCTCTGCTTCGCTCACCATGACTTGCCTTCTCCTCCAAAAGGCTCAATTCTACAAACAAAGGTTACAAGGGGAGGGGCAGGGGCGGCACCAGGCACTCCTGTCACACACCGTCCTACCTGCACAGCCTACCGCAGCGGCCTACCTCGACTCCCTAACACTTTCTGCGCAGCCCTGCCTGCCACAAGAGCCTGCGGCACGCCAGGGCCCGGGGGGTTCAGCTACTTCTCTCTGTGTGAGGGCTTGCATGCCTGCTGTTTGCTTTAGATGCGGTAGCCGTTGCTTGGGCTTCCCTGTTCGGAATCAAACTTCAATTCTCCGCTACCCGCCGAATAGATGGCTGTGGTCATAAACATGTCAAGGGAAAATCAAGATCAAGCAAGCTCTTTCCCAACACGCGGTCGCCCAGCCGAAAATTACAATCAAGCAAGCTCCTTCCCTTACACGCGGTCCCTCACTGCAAATCAAAATCAAGCAAGCCCACGCCCAAACATGTGGTCCCTCACGTGCTCTGCAGGGGCACACCTTTTGTGTGAACACCGCTTGTGATGCCAACGAAAAAATGCGTCGGCCGCCATAAATCTTACTCGCCTACAGAGACTACGAAGCTTGAGGAACTGTTGCCCACACAAGGTTGCAGTGGTTCCTCTTAAGCCAACAATGAGCGCTCTGAACTGCGGCCTCACATCACCGAACACGAGTGAAAAGGAAGCTTGAACGCCAGGATCATTTGTCTTCTGGCGGCGTGGCCCAAAAGGGCTTCATGTTGCCGTAACCGTGTGCGACTCCTGCCGCATCAAGAGCCAAGCCGCCATAGGAACCTGAAGAACACGTCTCCACCTTGCACAGCGGATGAAATGAGCATAATCGGCATGGCAGGCCGTGCTCCATCAAAAAACTGCAGGACCGTCCACAATGCCATGCTATGCGATGGACGCGCCAACTGCCCCCTGCCAAGCCGGGCCCGCCTTCACGTCGTCCAAGGGGGTTTCCAGGTTGGCACTGTCCCGTCTATCCCGCCACTGGTAGAGGATGCCATCTGTGGTAACACCGCAAAACCACCAGATGCTAGCCCCGAGGAACTTGAAGCGGTGGGTGGGTACCTTGTAGCTCATCAACTTGGATGAGTGGGAGACTTAGTAAGCCTGCTTAGTAATAGGACTTATAGGGCTTATTATGGCTTCTTATGGTGGCTTATAGAAGATACTAACTGGACTTGCTATTTCAACTGATCATCCAAGTAGCTCATCAAGGAAGCCCTTAATAAAAGCTACTTACAGCTAATTGGGGCTAATTAAGGTTAACTACATAAGGTAGAACCCAATTGGAGATAGTATAGAAGGGGTAGTTGGGAAACCCATGAGTACCTCGTAGCTCATCTCGCCAAAGCAGTGGACTTTGCCGTCTTCATCTCGTGCACAGATCTGTCTCTCGCTAGCTTTCACCTGGCGTCACCAGGCTCCAGGCCTACAACCATCGTGAAGTATTATAGAATATGGATTACATCATCATGTAAGGAACATATCATGGTTCATTCAAAGATCACATTCTGTCTACTTCAGGCTGGCTGTAAGTCTGTCAGCAAGCAGATAACTTGGGCTCCCTCCTGCAGAATCGGCGGCAGCTCTGGCACTTTGAATTCCTCGATGGCGCTCGTCGGCCTGCTCCGCAGCATGTCCCAGCACTTCACGCCTGCATCGTCGCTTCTTTCAGGGTTGGGGCCATTGAATAGATTAAGGGCTGGGCTGTTGGGCTGAAGATAGTATGGTAGGTTAGAGTATGAGATATGATATAGTATGGTAGATTATAATATGGCAGCTTATAATATGGTATAGCACTATCAACTCAGAGGCAGATTCTGACAAGTCCTCCAACCCGAGCGCCTTTGGCCGATGTAAGGACGCAGATCCATCGGTCGCCCACCGTCAGCTGGGTAATGGCGCCAGTCTCCTGCCAGTGGGAGGGACCATACTCCTGAGCCTATCATGATCCTACACCTCACCTGACGGCCTTGAAAGCTTTGACCAAAGGAATCAGTCCTGGCGCCATGTTTTGCCTTCCTCATTGCTGATCAGGACACCCCAGCACGTGATGGCAGTGCCACTCTTCTCAATGCCGCAACCCACTCGCATCCCCATCCTGGCAAGGCACGCAGCATTCAAAACAGGGTCCTAAACCAGGGGCTTGAATTCAGCCGCATTAAAGTACGGCGAGCTTTCAGTGCCCTGCACATGTAGAGCATCCTGGAGCAGATAGAATACAATCTTTCAATTAACCATAAGTTATTCCTTATAGAACTCATATTCTACCTACTCCAAAACAACTACGCCTGCATCTGAACCGCAGAACTACCCCGGTCCCCGTCCTCAATTCCTTGAAGGCCGGGAGATCGCTTGGGGGTTGGAGGAGCATCTTATGCCAGCCGCTGACCCACCGGATCCTGAGCGTCAGCTGAACCAAAAAAGCTTCCTGGGATCTCTTCGTCAGCTGAAAACTAGGTAGGTATCGTATGAAACTACGAAAGAGTGGTGTTATCTATGATACCAACCATATGGGCCTCCCAACCATAAAGGACTATACTTAGGTTACAGCCTGGTTATAACGGAGGGCTGAAAAAGATAAGCCAAATGCCCGCAGGCGCCTGCCGCCATTGTTTCCATAGGCGCGCTCGTCTCCCCAGCAGTGGACCTTGCCATCCACATCCAGGCCGCAGCCAAAGTCATTTCCCTGTCAGGCTTTCAAGTTCGGCTCTGCTTTCGCGGTGTTTGCATAACATGTTTCCGTGATCCGACGTAGGGGGTCCCAGCCGCATCTCACTCTCCCTAGGATTTGGTGCTGCGGTTCTTCCTAATAAATAACAAATAGGTGGGGCGTCGCTATTAGCCAGCTAATATTTGCTTATAAGTGCAGAGCCTGATTTTGGAACTTTTAGGACAGCCTTAGCGCCTAGATACACACAGATCAGCTGGCTACGAATCGTTGCCGCCCAATGTGGAGCGCTGATCATCTGATGCACCGGCGGAGCTTGATCCCCGATTTTTGTTGCAGAAACTGTTCCTAGGAGGCGAGCCCACACAGATAGCTTTATTGGGGCAGACGAGTGGTGGAGGCGCAACGGGTGTGGGACCTTAACCCCAAACGCCACACAACGCCCCTTTCTACCTCCAAAGGCGTGTGTGCAGGCGGGTGGTTCGCGTTGCCCACTCCCGGACCCCCAGACAAATAAGATACAAATAGTCGCTATTCAAATTGCAGGTACCTGGGGCACGATCGACCAATCTTTCCTGCAGCCTGTGCGCGCGTGTGCGTGCGCGTGGGCGGAGCGTGACCTGTCGGGGCGCCCCCGGCGACCCCCAAACAATTAAGCTACAAATAGTGACGATTAGTGGGCTATTTGCTAGCAAGTAGCAGCTATTTGGGGCACGACCGGCCAATCTTTCCTGCAGTAGAGCGTGCGTGCGCGCGTTTGCCCGCGCTTGTGGCCGGAGCGTGAGCTGTCGGGGCGCCCCCGGGGACCCCAGACAATTAAGCTACAGATAGTGACTATTCATGGGCTATTTGCTAGCAAATAGCAGCTATCTGGGGCACGACCAACCAATCTTTCCTGCAGTAGAGCGTGCGTGCGCACGTTTGCCCGCGCTTGTGGCCGGAGCGTGACCTGTCGGGGCGCCCCCAGGGACCCCCAGACAATTAAGCTGCAAATAGTGATTATTAGTGGGCTATTTGCCAACAAATAGCAGCTATCTGGGAAACGACAGACCAATTTTTCCTGCAGCAGAGGGTGTGTGAGCGCGCGTGAGCGCGCGCGTGTGGGCTTGCGTGTGGGCGCGCGTGTGGGCGGAGCGTTACCTGTCGAGACTCCTCCCAGACCCCCAGACAACTAAGCAACAAATAGTGACTATTAGTGGGTTATTTGCTAACGGATAGCAGCTATCTGGTGCACGACCAACCGCATGCGCGTGCGAATGCGCGTGCGTGTGCGCGCGCGTGCGCGGAGCGTGACCTGTCGGGGCGCCCCCGGCGACCCCCAGACAATTAAGCCACAAACAGTGACTATTAGTGGGCTATTTGCTAGCAAATAGCAGCTATCTGGGGCACGACCAACCAATCTTTTCCTGCAGCAGAGCACGCACGCGTGGGCGGAGCGTGGCCTGGTCCAGGGCACGACCGACCATTCTTTCCCTGCAGCAAACAATGCTTGCGCAGCAAGTTTTTCCTGCAGCAGAGCATTTGTGCGCACGTGTGGGTGGGGCGTGGCCTGTGCGGACTTTTCCCGGACCCCAAACAATTAAGCTAACCCTCCCCAGACCCTTCTGCCCCCGCGTGCGTGCGCGTTGCAGGTGAGCTCTTGTTGCGGAACCCCTTTTTTCCCCACCCCTCGAATCTCATGTCCGTTCTGTGGGCTCATGAACCAGCGCAATCCTGACTCAACGTTTGCCGAATGCCGTAGAATGCAGCATGACTCATCTTTGCTGTCAACGGGCTAGAATGCAGCTATCTTGCTGGGGGAGGTGCTCGAGGGGGGGGTGGACAAGGGATACATGATTCTTGTGCCCTCGCACGGGGTGCTTAGCGCCAGAGTTTGGCTCAAAAATCCAGATTCTGCTGAAAATGAAGCTCGTAGCGTGCTGCGCCACGAAAATGACTCCGCTTATGGTCGCCGCAGTCCTGTTGCAGGCTCACGGCCTGAAGACCGTCGTGGAGCTGCCAGATTGCAGCTTCACATTCAAGCGCACGTGGCGCGCCGAATGCTCCGACGTCGCGCTCGAAGATTGTTCCTGAGATGACATGGCCTTTTGTTTTTTGGTGTGCTTCACAGGCAAGCAGTTGAGTTGTGCGCCTGAGTGAGGTCCGCATGCATACACCAGTTGGGGCCTGCACTACTTCCAGGCCCGGAGCGTGAGAGCTTATGTTTTTTCATGTATACCACCATCCTGAAGTAGATAGAGCATGGGATTATATATATATATATACATAGAATACATCATGGTGCATTGAAAGATCATATTCTGTCTACTCCAAGATGGCTGTAGGTCCTGTTGCCCAAGTTCTGCGTCGTTGGTTCTTCGGTTTCTTTCGCAGGAGTGTAAAGTCAGCGATAGCGGCAACGCTTGCCTGCCGACTGGGCCAAGGCTTGAGCCTTGAGGTCACCCAGAGCTTCCAAAAGTCCTTAATTCAGGAATATGCTCTAAATTATGTAGGGATTCTAAATATGGGGGTATGTTCCTTAATTAAGGACTTTTGGAAGCTTTGGGAATGTGGTGAAACTGCTATTTTTTACCGCATGAGCAGTTGATCGTGGACTTCAGCCGGCCCGTCCGTCGTGTGAGGTGCATTCGCCAAGAAGATGTGCCGAATGTTTGGCTAAAGTTGGAGGCAGCCAACGAAGGATATGGCTGTGGAGTCACTACAACAGGCCCCTGCAGCGTGTAGCTTTTTGCGCAGTCCACCAAGGATGTAGCCTCAATGGTACAACCCAGCTGAAGCTTGAAGCCTGCTGTCGCGTCCACGCAGGCCGCGCCCGTTGCATGTACAACAAGAATGAAGACAAACGCGTGCCCGCTGATCTCAAGCTTGTCTCTGCGGTGCCTGAGCGGGTTGCTTGGCTCGTATGCTTTTCCAGGAGACGGGGTGCATAGGGGGGGGGGGGGGGNNGTGGACAAGGGATTCATGAAAGAAGCGTGAGCAGATCGCTAGACTGCATTGCTTCTGTTTGGTCGCAGGGCTGTGACTCAATGGAAGATGAATTCCCCAAGGGTTGCAGCGCCTACGCCGGCTCAGACGCAGCGCAAACAACCGATGCCCCCTCCCTTACAAGGCTCAAAAAAAAATGCCAGTGCCTCGACGTATCCCGAAAGGAACTCCACCACGCTTGATATCAGGTGTCTGCTTTACTTCCGTTCCCTCCCTTGTAATGGCACGTTCCAGCCCTTAGGTAGCATCTGCTATCCCCATGACCTACAGTAGTTCCCATGTCACTTCGATTTGATTCTCTGCTACTGTGGAAATGTCCCTATGTATATATACATCTCTCCCTCTATACGGCCGTGGTTTCCCTTCAATGTTCCGTTTTCTTCTGCATTGCTGGGCCCCATGTATACCCCTACCCGAGCACCATCAGGCGATAGCTAGCAGCTAGCACTTGGGGGTTTCTGAAAATTAGAAGTCCCTTTCGCCCTTTTTGGGAGCCAGTAAAAAGACTTATTCGATGTTGGGGCCGCCAATGTATGGAAACTCCCACGAAGTGGAGACGTGCCAGACAAGCCAAAGCTGCAAGACCCCCAGAGCAAAAGGCTGCAGGAAATCCAGCACCTCGGCAGTTCTTGAGTGGGAAGCGAAGCCCACTAGGACTCTTTGCATGCATGCTGTGTAGCTAAATTTGTCAAAAAAAAGGTGCCAACTACACCAATGTAGCCACACAGCATCCATATTCTACTAGGCTTGACTCACCTCTGACATAATTCCCTGTAGTTCTGTGGGCTTGCACTGCTCCTAGCCTCAACACTTACCACTACAAGAAGCAAAAGGCTCGACTCCTTTTTCTCTGGGTTGCTCTGAATGTTGTGCAGAGGGGGGCTTGAAAGGCTCGGGGCTTCAAGCCCAGCTCTCCTTCCATTCTACCTCTGTCTAAGTTGAAACGTAGTCTGAAAACCAGTTCCAAGGATTGGGCCAAACGACGGTTTGGGCTTTGTGAGACTGTGTAAGAACCGGGCTCAGCGGGCTCGGGCTGACCTTAGGCGGTCAGGCTTTGGTCAAGTCTGCGTGTGCAGAACTTGGGCCCAAGCGAGGGCTAGAGTTGGCCAGGCCTGCGGGCTAGGCCTGGGTTGGCCGAGCAGCGGCTCTTGTCTTTCAAAGGCTGAGGCGACAGCCGGACAGCGAGTCCTAAGGGTGGCCTGCACAGACAGCGGCTGACAGGCTAGCTCAAAGGCTGAAAGGCGAGGTGAAACATAGACGAAGGCTGAGGCTGGCTCAGCACCGAAGTCTTGACCTGGGCACAGGGATTCAGACTAGCATCTACAAGGGTCTGGGAGGGTGGGAAAAGTTTTGCCAGGTAGAAAACGATCTACGTGTAAGGCTTGTAGTGGGCCACAGTCTTGGCCTAGGAGCAGTAGTGGCAGCAGACATGCATGAGATTCACAAGACCACACAAAACACAAGAGACCAAAATAAAACTCTTAGCGTTCTGTGGGCTTGCACTGCTCCTAGGTTCCAAGCTAGCCACTAAAAACAGCTGCAGAGGTTCACTCCTTTTCTCTGGGTTGCTCTGAGTGCGTTGCAGAAGGAGGGCTTGAAAAGGGCTACAGGCT